AGAAATTATATTGTTTTAATTATATTGCTATAATAATATGACGACGACGGTTTTTATAAATTTTGTATATTACAAGTGTAAGTTGCCCTTTTATATCTACTAGTATTGTATAATCGTATAAGTTGTAAATATCAGCACAATTCAGTTTTTACTGCAAGTCTGATATGTTCTTTGCTCTTTTCAATAAACCAATCACTACATTTTGTGCACCAGTTTTTCCAGCACTTAGCCTAATATACGTTACCTAGCTACGAGGGGTGATCCAAAAGTTCTCGGCCTCACCTAGAAAATACAGGTCAAACGCGTATTCTTTGGTATAACTGTATACTATGATGTCTTACATCATTGCACACAAAAATGCAAATTTTTATATTCATTAATTAGCACGTGACGCCCCGTGAAAATGGGGCGGGTGAGGGCAAAATCACAAAATGGCCGCAGCAGAAGCGTGTGCTGTGATCAAGTATATCGATAAAAAGCTATGTCTCCTAAGGAAATCCGTGAAGACATGGTCAAGACACTTGGTGATGACTCCCCTTCTTATTCAACTATAAAGAAGTGGGTTGCTAGCTCTAAGCGCGTCAAGGAGAGCAAAAAAGATGAACATAAGTCAGGATGCCACAAATCAGCACCACGGACAATCCAGTTGAGGCCATCCATCACATGGTAGTGAATGACAGATGTGAGACTATCCAACATGTAGCAGAGTCTTTGGCCTGTGATGTGGCTCAGTTCACAATGTTTTATCGAACATCCTGGGGATGAACAAACTGTCTGTATGATGGGTGCCTCGAATGTTTTCTGAACATCACAAGTTAAACAGGCTTGACATTTCAAGGAACGAATTCTGTTGAATCCAGGCATTTCCTCAAAACATTTGTCACCCAAAATGAGACTTGGGTTCACCACTTTCAATCCGAATCAAAACAGCAGAGGAACCAATAGATGCAGAACGGTTCTCAGTCCGACAAGAATTTCCGGCAAGTTTCATCAAGTTGACAAGCTTTTGGCCTCCCAGCGAGGGAGCAATCATGATTAACTAGCTGTAAAGCATCAATGGGGAATACTATGCAACAGAATTGCGACAGTTGAGTAATTCAGCAGTAGCGCAATCAAACAGAAAAGGAGAGGAAAGGTCTGAGCTGGCCTGCTGACAATGCACCTGTCCACACAGCACAGGGGTCAGTGGCAGCAGCAAACGAATTTGGCTTTGAAGTCTTTCCCCACCCTTCCACTTCACCTGGCCTAGCACCCTCGGACTTCTACCTGTTTCCTAAACTAAAGTTCCACTTACGTGGTCAACGTTTTGATGGTAATGATGACGTCATCGATGCGGTCGAGGCCAGTTCAAGGGCTCAAGATGCAAGCTTCTTCCATCCGGGAAAAGGAAAGATGCAACCGCGCTGGACCAAGTGCATTGAAGTTAGAGGGGACTATGTTGAAAAATAGTGTAAGGAATTTTTTCTGCCATGACGTTTTCTAGGGGAGGCCGAGAACTTTTGGATCACCCCTCGTACACATAGATTAGTTTACCTTGTCTCACCCGTATTCTTGTAAGTCCGAAGACTAAGTTTATTTTAAACCAAGTTCAGGCGGCTCTGCCACAGTGAACCAGAGTATAACATGCTCCCGAACTGCCTGAGAACGAACTTACGTCTCTCTTAGGTCACTTCGTGCTTTATTTAGCTGACCTTTTAACTATGCGCACCAGAACGTCCAGAGTGACATGTTTTACCATTTTCACTGTAGTAGTTCGGAATTTTATCTGTCCGACTAGTCTTATAGTCTACCTTATTTTAATAATCACACGTACAATGCTTAGCCTTCTCGTAATTGACTGTAAATAGTTCGGTCAACGCATGGCCTGAGTGCCAACGGCCTCCTTTTAATTGTCAATCTGTTAGTATTTACAGCGTTACCTGCTGCCCACAGACTTGTACGTGATTTTGAAGTTTATTTTAATGCACCAAGTATTTCTTGTCGTTATCTTAGATATAATCACTGAGCACTTTTGCACGGTAGTAACTACTCTCACAATGTATTCAGCTGTTCTGCCCTAGTTAGATTTTACTAGTGGCCTGACATCTAGTGGTGCAATCAGAAACATCAACAAACATTAAAGATGTCTCCGCCAAGCACACTCTGCCTGTTTATTGACTGAGACAATTCACCTGTACTGACTCTAGGAGGACAGACTCTGGACACTACGTCAAAGGCAAGGTTGCTGGGGCTCCACATACGCTCCGACCTGAAATGGGATGACCAGGTGGAAGACATGGTGTCTAAGAGTAGCAAAAGACTGGTTGTCATCAGCAGGCTACGCCGTTCAGGAGTACCGGTTGCAGACCTGAACACTATCTACTGCGGATATATAAGACTGTTACTGGAATACGCCGCTCCATGCTGGGCCGCAGCACTAACTCACAAACAGTCGGCCGCCCTGGAGCGGGTGGAGAGAAGGGCCTGCAGAATGATGATGGGTCGACAATTCACCACGTACACTGAAGCCCTCCAGCATCTCGGACTTCAGCGCTTATCAGCCCGCAGACAAAAACTGTGCACAGACTTTGCCTTGAAAGTGGAAAGGTCGCCTCGCTTCTCCACGTGGCTGCCCCCTACCCGCGGACAGCAACATGGCAGGCATCTCCGCAACTCTACACGCTACCAACAGCCTACTGGGACTAAGCGTTACCTAACTAGTGCTATCCCCGCAATGACGAAGTTACTGAATGAACTGTAGACGTTTTTAAATATTGTAACAGATTTTATGTATTTATGTATGGCAATGATTGAACGAACTGCAAATATTTTATATCTTATATTGTGTTAACTTATTTTAAGCTGTGATTTTGTCCATTTAATTGATGTACTGTAAAGTCTGACGCTAATTAAGTCTGCTGACTGCTATGTCAGATTGTGTTTCTTTCAATAAACCAATCATCATCAATAATGTTACGACAGACCACACACAAGTTAGATACATCAAATTTATTTCAATAGTATCTTTATTGGACAGGTGTGAATCAGTATAATTAATAATTTACTCTGAAGCAAATACGACATATTTCAGTCATACCCCTCTCCATGAAATGGACTGTTCCAAACTCAAACCAGTGCAAAATTAGAACAAGATTATTTCTGTCCAAGGCGAGTTATTTTCCAAGTCATCCAAATTTAAAATGAAGCCTTGTCACCAAAAATTAAAAAAAGGTTGTTTCCACTAGTCAAGAATGGACTTTTCCATCTGCCTCATGTCCGAAAACATTTCCGCAAAAATACGGACATTTTGTGTAATCATCCCTATTCAATATTTTATTTAAAAAAAACCTTCTTCAAGAATGAATTTTCCAGTCAATGAAAAGAAGAAGAAACATCAGTAATAAAAAAACAATATATGTTAGCCATACCATGGTATGACTGAAATATATTACATAAATAATACTTCCCAGATTTTTAGATACAACAACACTAAAAATTCAATAACCACTGATGAAAAGTTACAGGTTCTGAAATTGTTACAATGCTACAAAAACGGAAAACTTGTAAGGATTACAGTTTTCTGTACGATATTACCATAAATACTGGACAGGTGTAAAGGTGATATTCATTTTGAAAAAAAAATTCATCTGTGTTGATGCCTTTTGTGGTGACATCACTTTTTTAAAATATCTTTTAGACTTTCTACAGCACATTGCTCTTCTACTAGAGATCAAGACTTAGGCCGTCTATAATTATATATTGTAAACAGTATATTGTACTGTAAACACATAACAACAAAACACGCTGTTCTTGTTAGCACAATCATTCATAGAATCAAAGTTGGAACAGCCATTAAAGTCAAACATTGCAAAATGCAACCATTACACCATCAATAATAAAAAGTTACACATTCTGATATAGATATCACCCCGATTTTTAAGATACTACAACTTTAACATGAAAAACTACAACTCTTTTTGAAGCGGACTCAGCGTTGATGCCTTTAAAATGAAACTTTACATCTTTATACTTTCTGCAGTACATTGCTCTGTAAATAGAGTTCCAGACTGATATTCCAGCCCATGATAACACATTGTATATATTTTACACAAAATGACAAAACCCTGTTCTTGGTAGGGTAATTATTAAAGTTGGAACAGCTATTAAAGTTAAACGTTGCAAGATACTACCAAAACATCATTATTAAAAGGTAATGATTCTCAATAGTTGTTACCACAATTGTTACAATACTTCAAAATGAAAAAGTACAGCTAATACCACTGGTGCAAAATCTCATTCATTAAAAAAAAAACTCAGCATTGATGTCTTCAAAATTAAACTTTACAATTTATATACTTTCTGTGGTACATTGCTCTCCTACTAGAGTTCCAGACTTTAGGCAACACACTCCTTTTGAAGCTTCATCAATGACTATTATGATTTGTATATTCGATAGTTTCTGCAGTCGTGCATGGCATTACATGACTTGCTCTGCTACTATATTTCCAAACTCAGGTTGTCCATACTTACACAGAGACTGTCTCTGTTAAGGTAATGGGTAGTAAGGACGTTTATACGGTGAAGATGACGATGAGGAAAGACGTTTAATCGTTACTACACAATGTGAATAGTTTAACACGTTTAACACATGTTCTTGTGTTCAAGACTTACAACTTAAGCCCCATGCGGTTCTCACAATGAAATTTGCAAGCTACTTTTAAAATACAACATACAATGTAGCCTTTAGTTAGTCTTAAGAAAAAAACTTACAAGGTCACAAGTGATTCCCTAAGAATCTTAGACATATCACCTAGAACACCACAACAAGTAGTTTTGAACTGTATGTCTACACAATCAACCAACTAACCAACTGACAGCTAAAGTAATAAGGTACATATTCTATTTAACTCATCCTGAATATTTTGGCTCTAGGTGCCAATCGGAGACGTTTTTATTTTTCCTTTGTTTCTTTCTACAAGATTTCTACATTTGGATGAGGAGAAGTTACCTTCAGTGTTGGTCTAAGACTGACCCTGTCCTGTCTGATCCTGACCGCTGGTCATTACAGTACCTGTTTTGTACACAGAATTTATCTGCGAGACAATCTGCCCTGTACCGTAAAGTAGATTTCCAACATCCAATGATTCAGTCACGGCCTGAGACTGACCCTGTCCTGTCTGATCATCACCACTGGCCATTACAGTAGCTTTGGGGGTTGTGTTGGATTCAGTGTTAGCCTGAGACTGCCCCTGCCCTGTCTGATAATGACGACTGGCCATTACAGTAGCTGTGGTGTTTGTGTTGATTTCAGTGTTAGCCTGAGACTGCCCCTGCCCTGTCTTAACACGAATTTTGTCCATATCTTCATACTGATGATCATTATCAGTGGCCAATACAATAGCTGTGGTGTTTGTGTTTGTGTTGGATGTAGTGATGGCCCGTGGCTGACCCTGCCCTGCCTGATCATGACCAGTGGTCATTACAGTAGCTGTGGTGTTTGTGTTGGATTCAGTGTTGGCCTGAGACTGACCCTGCCCTGTCTGATTATCACTGGCCATTACAATAGCTGTGGTGTTTGTGTTTGATTCAGTGTTTGCCCGAGGCTGACCCTGCCCTGCCTGATCATGACCACTGGCCATTACAGTAGCTGTGGTGCTTGTGTTGGATTCAGTGTTAGCCTGAGACTGACCCTGCCCTGTCTTAACACGAAGTTTTTCAATATTATCACACTGGTGATCATCACCACTGTCCATTACAGTAGCTGTTGTGTCTGTGGTGGATTCAGTGTTGGCCTGATACTGACCGTGCCCTGCCTGACCATGACCACTGGCCAATACAATAGCTGTGGTGTTTGTGCTGGATTCAGTGTTGGTCTGAGACTGACCCTGTCCTGTCTGATCCTGACCAGTGGTCATTGCAGTAGCTGTGGTGTTTGTGTTGGATTCAGTGTTAGCCTGAGACTGACCCTGCCCCGTCTTAACACTTGGGTTGTCAAGATCTTCATACTGGTGATCTTCACCACTGGCCATTGTAGAAACTGCTGCGTTACCTTCAGCTGCATATATAGCACTTGGTTATGGGGTAGATTTCCAACGTTCAGAGATTGAATGTTAGCCTGGCCCTGCCCATTCTGAACACATAGGTTATTAGTATCCTCATTAACATCATTACTGACCGATACAGTAACTGCTGTGTTTGTGTTGCCACCAACAACAATGGGATTTAACCCTATAGGGGAACGCCTGCTCTTTATCTTGCACCACACTGTAAGAATGATGGCGCCAATCAGGACGATTCCAGCTACTGAACCACAGATAGAGCCAATGAGAACAGGTATTGAAAAACTGGGAGCAGATTCTGGTTTGTCTAAAGTGATTGCAAGGGGTGAAGTTAGTGTTGATCTTGTTTTGCCTACAGGACTTGATGTTGATTCAGGATCTGACATTGGGGCAGCATTGACCTTAAAGTACCAGAGATAGTGAGATGTGCGAGAGATTGTTTTACTTTTGTTTTCTGTAGGGTTTGCTGTCGAGCCAGCGGTGGTTTCAAAGACTGGCGGGCTATTATTGCTTTCTGTGTTACCAACTGAAGCTAGTGTTGCTCTTGTTTTGCTTGTGTTTTCTGCAGGACTTAATGTTGAGTCAGGATCTGATATTGGGTCAGCACTGAACTTAAAGTACCAGCGATAGTGAGAGTTGCGAGAGATTTTTTCGCTTGGGTTTTCTGTTGAGCTTTTAGTGGTTTTAAAGACTGATGGGCTAGTATTGCTTTCTGTGTTACCAACCGAAGGTGTTGACACTGCAGCGGAAAATGTACCAACAGTTAGTGGTGATATGGTTGGCTCTTTACAAATAAATTCTTTAGGATCGACAGCAAAAAGCCCCTGTCCGCAAACTTTGGCGGGATGGGCACATTTCATGGTCTCTAATGTATTGTAGTTTGATAACTTCTCGTTAAATGTAGGATTTAGTCTGACAGGAGCCATCCTACAGTCACACTGCCAGGGGTTTCCGTCAAGGGATACGGTCTTACGGGCCAGATTTGCAAATGTATCGGGAGGGATGGTAGTTATCTGGTTGTTGTTCAGGTCCAACCTTTGCAGCCGGGGCAGATTAGCAAATGTATCAGAAGGGATGGTAGTTATCTGGTTGTTGTTTAGGTACAACTTTTGTAGTTTGGGCAGATTAGCAAATGTATCAAAATGTAAGGTAGTTATCTGGTTGTTGTTTAGGTACAACTTTTGTAGCATGGGCAGATTAGCAAATGTATCAAAATGTAAGGTAGTTATCTGGTTGTCTCTAAGGTCCAGGTAATATATCCAGGGCAGATAAGTAAATGCATCGCAATGGATGGTAGTTATGTGGTTCTCGTTCAGCCACAAGGCTCGTAGCCGGGGCAGATTTGCAAATGTATCGCAATGGATGGTAGTTATCTGGTTGTCATTCAGGTACAAGGCTCCTAGCTGGGGAAGATTAGCAAATGTACCAGAAGGGATGGTGGTTATCTGGTTGTCGTACAACGACAAGAAACGTAGCTTGGGCAGATTAGCAAATGTATCAGAATGAATGGTAGTTATCTTGTTCTTTTTCAGGCACAACGATTGTAGCTGGGGCAGATTAGCAAATGTATCAGAATGGATGGTAGTTATCTGGTTGTTTCGAAGGTCCAGGGAATATAGGCAGGGCAGATAAGCAAATGCATCGCAATGAATGGTAGTTATCTGGTTGTCATTCAGGTACAAGGCTCCTAGCCGGGGCAGATTAGCAAGTGCGCCATCTTCAATCTTACTTATCTTGTTATGTTCCAGGCACAGTGTATTCACATTGGTATACCGTAACAGCTCAGACCGCGTTACATTTTTAATACTGTTATTTCCTAGATACAATTTCGAGATGGATGTTGGGAGTTTCTGAGGGATGCTGGTCAGGCCTTCATTACGACGGCAGTAATATGATCTCCATGATGGTTTACAGCCGCAGACGACGGCATTAGCTTCCGGCATGTTGGGCTCCTTCAGGATGATGAGTAGGTAAACCAGCAGGTGCAGGAGCTTTCTTCCCATGGTGTCCTGCCACCTAAACAGAACGGCAAGCTTCTCATTTTATAAGTCACACCGACCTGAATGGAACGGGAAGCTCTTCAGTAACACCACTCCAACTTCATGTTGGACATTCAGAACATCCCTAGGTGTTCTTTGTGACTTCGTTTTGCCCCTTGTTTTCTGCTAACTATGGATGTAAGATTGAGAGAGATATTGGCAAGATGCATTTGGAGTTAGGCTAGAGTTGTTGACTTAAAATCTGAAGGTTCTGGTAAACTACCCGGCGGGACCCCTACACCCTGTTGTTATTGTATGTACCTGTTAATTGTCTGAGACTTGCTGCTTGAATATGGATAGTGTGTAGTCCTGCTTATGTTCCTGTTTCGACCTCGCAGACAAGGAGATCAACAGAAGAGCAAAAATTGTACACTTCACTTTAAAAAGTTTCTATTTCTGAAATATCTTATTTAGAAAATAGCCATTATAGGACCGTGTTCGTAGCTACGTGCATTCTACTGAATAATGCTTTTGTAGAAAAAATCTGTTGCCGTGTTCACTGTGTAAATCATTTTGTTGACAAAATGGTCGAAACACATAAACTGACTGTGACTTAGCAAAGAGTCCTGATGATTTATCTGTAGTTTCTGGTTCTATCGAAATTTTCATCAATAGCGCCACGTCACCAATTGCAAATAAAAAAAATCATTCCGCAGCACCCGTTACCTTCCTTAGAACTTACCTTTTCCCAAGCAGATATTTAGATGGAAATTTTCTGATGTCCAGACTTCTCTGACAGCTATTTACATGTACCATTGTCGTCAGTAAAAAAAAACACGACAAATCTACCACCGTCACATCTACCTGGAGAATTAAAATCTGATTGCCAGCCTAACCTACGGGCGTGTGCCAATGACAAACTGCCTACAATGCATTTTACCAGAATTGTTTGTCCAATCCGAGACACATACCTTTCAAGTTGGTCTGAATAGCTTCAGTTGACACTTTTTGACAGAGACTCGGGCACAAGTTGCTGTTGTTCTTGCAGGGTGTGTCAGCCTTCTGTAAGCTGATCCGCAATGGCGTGTGACAAACAACCCAGGATCGGTCTTACGTAAATGGTGGAGTTAATTGTCTGAAGCTTGCTATTTGAATAACATTTATGATGAAAATTTAAGTCATGATGCCGGTCTCATGTTGCATATTCACTTGTTTTCGTCATACCGGCATGGTACTAAGAAAATACATACTGGAATCAGATTTTGTAAGATGTGATTGCCTCAGACGGCAGAAATCCAGACTCTTGAACAATTATAATTTTTATCTTGGAAGAGACTAAATGCGTGTATGTCTGTCCGTCTGTTCGTCAGTAAGGTAACTCTATAATGCTTAAATGGATTAGTTTTCTATTTGGTATTTTGTGATTTTGTGAATATGGTTAGATTTTCGGCCACCTGGTGGCTTTCAGTGGTACTGCAGCTGACCTTTGACATGTACAACAGACTGATTTTGAAATGCACATTTTTTTGTGTCATTAAACATCCCAACAACCTTTTAGGCCACAGCAAGTAATTTTTGTTGATGACATCAGCGTGCGCATTTATTTTCGTCTGATTTGGGAAAAAAACAAGAAATGTTGTAACCTTCTGACAGTGGTCAACATGCCAAAAATGCACTACAAAATCCAGGGGGCCAACAAGTGTAGTCGACTCCCAGTTCCTTGACCTGGGGTAAGCCACTCCTATAATACCATAAATGGCCTTCTAGGCGTGACTACATACCGCTCAGGGGAGACGTTGATTGTCAGGGTGCCCCCGGGAGTGACCTGCGGCGTACAAGGAAATTCATAAACCATTGGATACTTCTTATTTTTGTTACTATGTGCCTTGCACTTGGGAGGGGGGCAGGAAATTTCGAAACATAATGCATCAAAAAAGACATTTTATGACGATTTTACTTTACTAACTTTAAGGTTTGTGATAAACTAGTACGTAGCAATCTCTGGGTTACATTCCGTTACGTGTGTTATCGACCAAAAACAAGATATCTCCTCCAAACTACTCACTAAACAGCAGAAGTCGTGTAGCCAGTACACCGGGCAGCCATTTTGTTCAAAACAACTTCTATTTGCCATGCGTAGAAGATAGAAAGTCCCTTTTTACTAGCCCATCCCACCCATTTTGGTTGAAATTGGTACAGTCCGTCTGCCAGCGGTGCGCGGGGGGAGTAGCGCTGGCCCTGGGGTCGGCAGGCAGGGCACGTCAAGTGTCACTGCAGCTGTAGGGCCGAAAACAGCCAGTGCATTTTGTAGTGCGCAAAGATGTCTGTTGCCATGCCGGAAGGCGGATGGTAGATAACTATGGAGAGAGGAGACAAAAAAAGGCTCTTATTTAATGTTTTGTTTCTTAATTTCAAGCAGTGATATGTGATGCTGGCTGTGTATATGTGATGTTCCCACTGAATAAAAACCATTTGTACAATGATTGAGTCAAAATTTTGAATTATAGGAACCTTGGTTTTTTTTCGGCTCGTCTTGTTTTTTATTTCGTCCGCTCGCATTAGATCTAGTCTGTGGAGGATGTCATCCATAAAATTTACTTGCTGTGGCCTTAATGAGAAAAGGAGGTAGTCCAAGTGCAATTATTGTTTCAAATTAAAGCTATTGGCTGAAGAGGTTCCTTCTGGTTTTGTTTAAATCCATATTTGGGAGGGGAGTTGGAAGCAAAGTTTCACTGAAGGAAACACAAGCAAGAATATGCAAAGTTCTGCTGTATGAATACGTGAATCAATGAATGACCATTTTTTTCAACATTTATATGTTCAAAACGAGATACACTTTCTACTTGACTGTACAATATATGAAGATGAACGCCAATAGCTATTCGATACTTAGACAATAGACAATATATGTATTCTAAGAAAATGTCAAAGCAGGACACGTTTAAACACATCTCATGCAAGAACGAATGTACAGTAGACTGTGTAATTATGTTCCAGATGTTTCAAAAAGGGAGAAGAAAGGGCAACTAACAGTAGATGATAGGTAGTATATAGTATTGTTCTAATATATAGATTCCTAGCACTTAGCATTAGAATATAGCGTTCCAGTATGCAATACTCATGTTTTTATCCTCTATTGATGCTTTTAAAATTAATCTTTATACTTTCTGCAGTACATTGCTCTGCTACTAGAGTTCTAGACTTAGATAGTCCATGATCATACATTGTAATTACTTTACAAATAATGATTAAACACTCTTTACCTGTTCTTGGTTGGGCAATCATTAAAAATTATCCTACAAAAACTCGGGGAACATAAGACAAATCAGACACAGTTTGGCCGGAAAAAGGGAAAAGCTTTAATTTGTGACTTTTCCGAAACAAACACAGGTGGAGAAAGGGGTGGTGGTGGGTGAAGAGACAAACAAAAGCAAGACCGGCACCCGTGTACCGTCAAGTCGAATGGCGTATCACGTGATCGTGTCAAAGGTTACAGGCCGAAACAAAAGAAACAGGGGTTTTCTAGACAATTAACAAAAATTACCAACGGTCAATTTTTCCCAGTTGGAACAACTGTTAAAGTTAATCTTTGCAAAATACAACCATGACATTCTCCCTAATAATAAGGTAAAGATTCTGAAATAATTATAACCACAATTGTTACAATACTACAACTTCAAAATTTAAAACTACAGTTAACATTACTTGTTCAAAATCACATTAAATGTGGAATCTACCATTATAAGCAACCAAGCTACAACTTTGAGCTTGAAAAGCTTTACGTCTTACTTTAAGTCTCTCTCAAGAATTGTAACTTACAAGATTGGAATTTAAGTAATTATTAGTATCTGTTGTCCTGATAACACGCTAAAATAACCATTATTTAATTTCAGGTGTTCAAAACACACGAATTAATTTTGAAAATGTACTAAAAAGTTACTAAATGCAGTGCATCTGATTTCTTGTCAGAAGTTTATTTAGGCAACACGAATTTAATTTTGTAGGATCAAATATTTTAGGAGGTTTGCATAAAGTGATAATAAAAATCTGAAGGGAAAGATGTGTTTCTTCGTACACATAATTTACTGAAGTGAAATGTTCAATTCCTTCTAGTCCCAAATGTGTAGCATCTTTGCACCGCCATAATAACTGTCTATTGTTCTCCTTGGGTAGTCTGGTCCCGTACAAGGAAGGAGCTATGTTAACAAATTAATTGACTGTATTGTCCACCTATCCCATAAAAGCGATCAGATTTCATAAGAGCCCAGAAGTTCAATTTTTGCGATCTTATTTTTGCCTTAGAGGCGCATGAATCCACACACAGTATTCTTTTGAGTACTGAACACATGTATAGAAAGTAGACAAGTTGTTCTAAAACAGTGTGTCGGGCCCAGAGTGTACAACATTTCTAAGTTGAGTTCCAACACTTTTCTAGCCTTGTATGAATATTGCAAACATGTAATTTTTGCCAAAAATATATTAGATAATATTTCAGTTGTAATAATAACAATACATCTGGAATCGATGGGGGTGTTATAGAGATTATACTGACAAATACATACATAACAAATTTGTTTGAAAAAAAATCTTTGTCTATGGGTCCCGCCGGGCACTTGAAGTTTATAAATTTTGATGTGTTTATTATATCAATATAATAATATTAGTAAGTTATTCATAAACTTTATGTAGGCAGAGAGTTGCCTTTGACCCTGTGCTTTAGTAGTTGTCGGAAATGCCAGACAATAACCACCCAATGTGTACATTACATCTGAAAGTAATTCAGTACTTCCATTGTACCTGTTCAGAAACGTCATGGTTATTCAACAAGACAGTCAATGAATGACTTTTCTTTACCAAAACCCAGAACTAACAGTGGGAAATGGATGTTTGTGTACAGGGCCGTGAAACTCTGGAATTCTCTACCTACAGATGTAAAGTCCATCTCCCATGTCAAATACTTTACCAACAGGGTGGTGCAATTCATAAAAGTCAGACAGTTATCTTCAAGGTAGAATTCATATGTT